ACAAAATGTCAAACATTCTTCACCCACATACCCTTCGCAATTGATCCTTCCGGACAAGCTCTATTACGAACATATGACTTCAAATGCACAAATTGCCTAAAAAAGTTTATTAATCTTAGTTAAGTAAATATAATCATCAAAATATGAAACAGTTGAAGTTAATTACTATGATGTACCTTTCTTGAGGATACATCCACCTATAAGGCACCGGACCACCAAGCTTTGCCTCCTCCACTAAATGAATAGTTAAATGCACCATAATAGTGAAGAATGATGGTAGAAAAATCTTTTCCATCCGACAAAGAGCCAAAACGATACGGTTTTGAATTTTGTCAAGCTCATTCACATCTAGCACCTTTGAGCATATTGCTTTAAAGAAAGCAAACAATTCAATTATCACCGAAGTTACCTCCTTAGATGGACTACATGCCCTTAATGCTATCGGTAAGAGATCTTCAATAAAAATATGACAATCATGACTTTTAAGACCAATTAACTTTCGATCTTTAAGATTTACGCATCTTGAAATGTTAGATGCATAACCATCGGGTAATTTTAAAGAATAAAGAATTTTACAAAAGATTTCTTTTTCTCGCTATCGACATCGTAAAACAAGCCAAAGGCAATTTGCTTTTACCATTATCAAGCATATGGGGGTGAAGATCAAACCTAATACCCAAATCCACTAAGTCAAGACGTGCATTTAAATTATCCTTTGACTTAGTAGCATGGTTCATTAAGGTTCCAATCACATTATCACACACGTTTTTTTCAATATGCATCACATCAAGATTATGAAGCAACAAGTTAAGCTCTCAATAAGGTAATTCAAAAAATATACTTTTTTTCTTCCACCACCTTCTTGCATCCTCAACATCACTACATGTATTAACTATCCCATCAACATTTGAGCCACTAACATTAGTTTTCATTTGTTTTTGGTTCATAACCCTTTTTCTTTTCTAACGTTGTACTAATTTTCCAAAAGTATAATGTATGCCATCTAATTGTTTCAACACATCACTACCACTTTTCCTAGATAGTGCCATTTGCAGCTCTTCGGTACCATCAAAACAATCTTTTTGATAACGAAATATATGATCTTCGAGTAACCATCGACGATGACCCATGAAATAATGCTTCTTACTTTTGTACAACCATTTAGAAGATGTGGACTCAAGCACAACATGGACATGCAAACTTTCCTTTCGTACTCCAACCGGATAAATTTGCATAAGCAGGAAAGTCATTTATTGTCCACATCAACACAAGCATGCATATTAAATGATTATTTTGTATAAGCATCATAAGTTTCTACAACTATCCATAATTTTTTTAAATCTGCTATCAAAGGTTGCATGTATACATCTATGTCATTTCCTGGACTATGCTCACCTGGAATAATCATTGATAATATGAATGATAATTGTTTCATACAAATCCAAGGTGAAGTATTATATACAATCAATACAACAGTGCCATGTGCTATAGGTAGTGCTCATTGTTCTAAAAGGATTAAAACCATCACTAGCAAGTGCAAGCCTTACATTACAAGAATCTAAAGCAAAATCTGGATATCGAGCATCAAAATTTTTCCATGCTTCTCCATCGGCAGGATGTCTTAATAATCCATCTTTCTTATGACCTTCCTCATGCCACCTCATATCACTAGTAGTTTTGTTTGAACAAAATAACCTTTACAAACGAGGTATTATAGGAAAATAACGTAACACTTTTGTAGGTATTTTCTTCCTAGAACCTAAAGTTTCCATTTGACCATTATCACCTTCCGTGTTGTTTTGCCCTTTTTTTCCCACCAAGGAGTACCACATTTATCACATACTTCAAGATCTTTTTTATCACCCCAAAATAACATACAATCATTTGAACAAGCTTTTATCTTCTCATAATCAAGACCTAAAGCTTTAATGATTTTTTTTGCCTCATAAAATGATTTAGGTAACGAGTATACCTTCAAGAAATGCAATAGTTAATAACTCCAATAACATAGTAAATGATTTCTCAGTCCACCCATTCAAACATTTTAAATGGTATAAATGTAATATAAAAGCTAGCCTCGAAAATGACTTACATCCAGGATATAACTCTTCATTGATATTTTTTAATAAATCATTAAACATATTTGACTCTTGGGTGGATTTTTCATTATCTTGCTCTACATCCAACCTTTGACATTGCCCATTCATCTCATTATTCAATGGCTCATCATGAGTTTTATCGCATTCACATTCATTTATTCTATCTATATTCATGGTCATTTCATTATCACATTGACCAATGACACCAAAAGCATCACGTAACAGCCCCATCATATCATCCGATCATTGTGGATTCACATCAATAGAAGTTGGTTCATGGGTAGAACTCACTCCTTGTTCAAGTGAGGTAGGAACATAAGAAGATGGCCTAATGTTACTAAAAGAAGAACTCTCTCCATGAAAAACCCACCGAGTATACCCCTTTAAAAACTCATCACAAATTAAGTGAACTCTAGCATCTTCATATGTTTGTAAAGAAGAATTACCACATCAAATGCAAGGACAAAAAATTCTTTCACCATAAGATGTATTACGAAATGCTAATTCAAGAAATTCCTCAACTCCTTTTTTATATTCAATACTAGTTCTAGTCTTGTTCATCCAACTTCTATCCATTTCATAAATATTGTAAAATCCCTAAAAGAATGCTATAAATTTTTTCAATAAAAAAAAAAAACAGCACAAAACTAGTTATGACATAAAGTATTCATCAACACATTTAGCACTCAACACTTTTGTATTCTCAAATATCAACAACCATTTGATTGCAAACAATCCTAGCTCCTTTGAAGCACAAATACAACTTAGATGCAATAAGTTTATTATCTTAGTTTTAATAAGAAATTTACCTTGAAGTAGTCACCTAAATTAGCAACCAAATATGCTTCAATCAACTCAGTTGAACCACCATAAACAATACTGAAAAAAATCAATTTTATTAGTTAGAAGCAAAAAATAAACTTATCCACTATATAATAAAAAAAGAAAGAAAGATGTAATTGTACTTACCACACAAGCCTTTAAAAGTTAATCTTTTGTAATGTTTCCATTGTTCTCTACATTCAATTCCAATCTACAAATAAAAATAATTAACCAATCAAGAAATAGAATACTAAAGGAAGAAACAAGTATCAAACAAGCATACATAACTATATATATAGCAAATTTTCGTGGAAAGTGAAAACCATAAATTCCATTGAGAGAGAGAAAGGAAGGGAGGGAAGGGAAAGTCGGATAGTGGTAGAAAAAAAAGGTGGCATTGATTAACACAAAGAGACAGAGGCATTTCACAAGGACAAGTGAACTGGTTTTCTCGTCCATGTCGCTCGATCATAATCCATTTTAGCATATGCTCGATTGGTTTAAGATAATAATTTCTTTACAAAATATTATCATTTGGCATTTGTAACCTTTTGGTTTTATTTAAGGATAAAATATTACAAAAAAAATTAATTATAAATGTTTTTATCAAATATATATATGTAGACGGACACACACAGAGACCCTCAATTAAAAGACATAAATTTCATCTAAAATTCTTGCTTGACTTATTTCGTATGATTGTTTGATTCAAGTACGATGGCTCACTTTTACAAGTAATATTAACCTAATAAATAGACGAAATAATGTCATCTATAGATGGTCACTACCAAAAAAAAAAAAAATCGAAGAAGTCCATGCATAATTTCATATTAGTTTCTATTGACTTCTTTTCTCCGTGGTCCGGAGGGAGGGAAAAATACCTAAAAATAGTTGGATAATAAATCAACAAGATCTGCACTATAATTGCCATTCTTCAAGATAGTTGTTGTATTCTTCTTGGAATTCTTAAGCTACGACTTGAGCAAAGATACAAGAGAAAATCTTTCGAGTCAAACCACATTCGAAGCAAAATATATAGCATCTTTCTCTTTCCCATTCTTCACCAATTCATCAATTATCTCCGAAAAAACATAAGATTACAATAGACTATTAACGACCATATTGATCGAACAAGAGATTATAGAACAATATATCAAAATCCGAGCTTTAAAAGAAGGGCATAGAGTGAAGTTCATCAAACAAAAGCTTAAAACCAACCACATTTGTTTGAATGCTCAGTGAAGCTAAGCACATTCTTATACCCGAGTGATAGTCATATTTGCAAACCATCATGAGGGCTCATACGCTACTTCACTACCTCAACGCGAGGGGAGGACCGAGAGCATGTTGGTTCATATTTACTAAGAAATAAGCAAGAGAGGCATTCCGTCAAATAATCTTTCACGATGGTTGGGATTATTGAGTCCCGGGAATATAGAAAAGTTTTTGCAAGAGATACCAAATTGTCATTACTATTATCTAAAGATATACTCTACCTACTAAACTCGCAGGTTTGCTAACAAAGTAGCATGCAAATTCTAAAGGGGAACCGGTTCTCGTTGGACGAAGCAAGCTAGAACCAAACTATACAAAGAAAATTAACATAGATTTTTTTTTCCGGACATGGTCGACAAGAAATGTTAGACTCTTAAGGAGTCTAATTCAATTGATCATTCTTTCGAAAAGCAAATAAGCAATTGTACGTGCAAAGATGTAAGCAAAACCAATTCAACACTCTTATGTGATTTTTACATTTATTTGTCAAGGCAAGCATAGCATTGTTTTTATCTCCTTGGTAAAGTCCTCGTTTATGCAATACGCACATCATTACAAAACAATTTTGAATGTAGGCACTTCAACTCCTAGTCTTGATTTCTTTAAAATCGGAATAAAGCATTTTCGCATAATTTACATAGCATTTGGAGATAATAAAGTAGTTCCATGAAAGACAATCTAAGAAATCACAAAACCAATTTTACGAGTAGCAAGTTCATTTCAATTTCATAAAAGTTGTTCATCATCCTCATATGTTGCTATAATTCTTTCTTTTGTCCTCCTCAATGGCAAAGAAAAGAGTAGATGAACGAAGCGGGTAATCTAATTGATTGGCCACAAAATTAATTAACCATACTTACCTTTACGAGAGATCAATGAGAAATTCCTCAATGAGTGCCCAATTGATTTGGAGAGAAGAACGAAGCGAGAGGATACAAATGAAGCAGAGTAGACGAACGAACCCGGAGGAGATGAAAAAGCGAGAGGGGAAGAAAAACCCGGAGGAGATGAACGAACCCGGAGGAGACGAACGAAGCGAGAGGGGAAGAAAAACCCTAAGAGGAGCGGGATAATGCAGCGTTTGTATCCCTTTCACAACAAATAAAAAATCGAAAATAAGAAAGAACAAGCAAAGCGGAACACGCAAGAGGCGAGAGGAGAAGAAGATCCGGTGAAGAGGGAAAATTTTTGAGTAGCGAGAGCGTAAGACACGAAGTAGAGGAGAAAAAGATTTAGTGAAGAAGGAAAACTTATGTCCGATCTTATCACTTTCAAAACCAAAAGAAATTTCCAATGAAGAATTGAAGGAGAAGGAAGCAACAAATCGAGAGTGGAAGAGAAGCTGAGAAACCCTAAGGAGAGGGAAAATGAAACGCCCTTCCCCCTTTCGAAACAAATTAAAAAAAAATAATTAAATAAAATTCGCGCCTCTAACATCTTGGGGCGGTTTTATGAATCGCCCCCAAAGGTTTCCTATAAAACTCTACTCTCGGTGCAAATGCTGAAAGGATTTGAGGCGGTTTTGTAAACCGCCTCAAGAATTCCGCCCCTATATCAGCTTTTTCTTGTAGTGTGTTTGACGTAGTTTTTTTTTTTCATTCAAACTAAGCTATTTTCATGCCATAAATGCAATACTTAAAAATGAAGTAATGTAGTGTTTTTTTTTTTTTTACACCATGGCTAGCTAGCATTTCTTTTTTGTGTAATGGAACAATTTAATAACTAATAACGAGTTAACAAAAAAAAAAAAAAAAAAAAGAAGGCTGGAGTTTTTGAATTTGTCATTGAGCAATATAATACTTGCTATTTATAGTACTTTATTTCTTGTTGACATTTAAGTTGGGCATTAATTCTAGGTGCAATTCTGAATAAGCAAGTTGGAAATATTCTACGTCCATTTGAGAGTATGAAGCCTGCTGATCTGTTGGTTCCGTACGTACCATGCAGCAAAATGGACAAAAGGAAGCTCTTAAAAAGCTTAGAAAGTGATTTTGAACTGGTTTATGTTGCTCAATCATGCTTGTCATGGGCGGCCCTCCACCATCGGTATAGAAAGGTTGAAGCTCTTGCATCCTCTAGCTCTCAAAATGGGGCGGTTTACGATAATGTGGCGGGCGAGTTTCAGAAATTTCAAGTACTTTTGGAGAGATTAATTTATGGAAGATGAAAGGTGTGAATTGGGCAAGAGGGATTGGAATTATGCCAGAGGAAGGTTGTATCTCAATACCCTTCTCCAAGTCCCCATGGTTTCAGGTATCTTAAAATCTTACCTTTTCTTTTCTGACTTGATCATTTATCAAGAATTCAAGAAGATGAATCTGAAAGGATAACGAAGGGAAGGCAAGATGTAGCCAATGGATTATTAGGACACTTAATAGTATATAATCTACCTGGCTAAAGTCAGCTGGCTCCAAGTGGTTAAAGTTAATTCATGTTCATAATCTGTATCCTTCCATTAACTAATAGCTAAAATTTGTTCTTTTCTTAACGGTTTAAGTCCTTATCTGAGCTCTTCAAAAATTCCATACACACAGATAATTCATGTATACAACGAAAAAGGGTAACACAACCTTCTACAGATACAAAAAGATTAATTTTCATCCAGAGAATGTTGAAGTTAATATTAAAGCTTCACCATTCTTGATTTTGTGGTTATTTTAACCCCTCTCTCTTTTTTTGGTCGTTTAATTTAACTTGGACTTTATGTGTTTGCTTCATCTTGTTATTTTAGATTTCATATATACATTTTTTCCCTGATATCATAAAGTTTACTATTAATTTTAATTTGTTCGTAAAGGCTTCTATGAGAAAGAAAATGAAGAAATAAAAAAGTTGAGCGATAAATGTTAAAGAGGTGATGAAGGCCATAGAGAAGTACATGTAATCAATACAACTCTGTTTCATTTAAACCCCTAATCAGCAGTAGCCAGAGTGGGCTCAACCTTTTTAATTAATGATCTTTATTCTGCTAGCATTTATGAAATCTTTGCAACATTTTCTGATTGCTTATGGTTTTCTTTGATCAGACCCTCGACTGCACTAAAATGACTCAAATTAAAACGATAAGTTAACCATGATGGATGGTTGAAACTCTGAAGACATATCTGGTTTTTATGAGTAATTTGATTGGATCAAAAGTATGTATTGCAGTTTTTTTCGTTTTAAATCTTCTGGACTGGGACGCATCAATTAATTAACAAGGTATGAATCAGAAATAATTCAATAAAAATCTGCTGCTTTTCTAATATTTTAAGACATTCCAATGGGGGTTACTCTCATGCCAGTTCTTTCTTCTTCTTTTTCATAGTAGTCATGTGCAATCAATCCTCAAGGGAACCATCCTAGTCTCATCTCTTTTCTTTACCTAAAAAGTTTTTTTTTTTTTTCCTCTGCTAAGAGTAATCCAACTACTCTCAACCCCTTTAGTAAAGATATGACCTTTTTTTTTTAAGAACTTGTAAAGTGTCAGAGATTTACTTATGCTACATATGTTTCAGTCATTAACAACTTTTTGGCAGCCATTTTATGAATACTTCCAACTTTATGATCTTTTTGCTGAAGTTAATGTATACCACAAAAAAATCAATCATAGAACCAAGAAAAACTTCTGAAATCCAAGTCTAAAAGAACACGTGCCCTTTAAAGACTTCCACCATGTGTAATTCACCACCCAAATTATGAACCCATCAGCGTCATCAACTGGACACCATTCGCGAATCATCGTTGGTGAATCCATCATATGAAGAGGGTAGGTGATTTGATATTTTAAAATTTTCTAGGCATTGTCTTGTGTCCATGCTGAAAGAGTGAAAGTAGTCCAGGCCCACCAAGACGCATCTGATCTGTCCCTAAAATGGCATAGACTAGACTAGATAGCATACGTGGCTAAGTTAACACAGTTCCCCCTCCCAGAAATTAAAATGTCCAGCAAACAATCATTCCCGTTCCCAAGTCTTTAGCCAACATACTTCTATGATTTCCTCTTCAGTGGGTCTCATCTCAACGACCCCCAGAAATAGATTTTTCCTGTTTTGGTTCCATTTCCTCCCTTCATTTCTGTTGTCTACCCTATGAAATCTCAATCATTCTTAACTCGACTCTACTTGAATCCCAAGTCTAGTGCCAATTTATCAAATAAATGCAATGGCATCTATAGGATCATTTCCTTTTATTGTTGAAACCAAAGCAGAAAGTCCTGTTCTTCTTTATAGCAAAAACAAAAATCGACCCAAGCTCTCTTTTTTCACGTGTAGAACAAAAAAGTCTCATAATTTAGCTGTTTTTAATGATGGGTTTTCTCTGAAGTTTAAGCCCGTAAGAGCTACTGGTGAGGAAGGTGCGAGTGGTGATGAGTCAGAAGATGCACTTCAAGCCACCATTGAGAAGAGCAAGAAGGTTCTTGCTATTCAAAGAGGCCTACTTCAGCAGGTGATCTATTGTGTTTTTTTTTTTTTTTTCCAACTTTTTGTAATGTTAAAAATTCAGTTCTAGTACAAATTACACTGTAGTGACTGTTGTTAGATTTTGAATTTAGGTGCTAAAAGTTGTGGTTTATGAATTTTTCCCATTTCGGTTACTTGTCAAATTTGAACTTTTGGGGAGTATTACGGATTGAATTTATCATTACGGATCTCCCATAAAAGAAAATTAGGATCCCATAGTTGCACTTCTCATCGTAAGCGCCAAGTGATGAAATGCTTCTGCCTGAGCTGGACCATTAAACTATTTAATAGCCTTTTTCTAAAGGGTGCCTTTTGTGTTATGTACTGAAGAAGCTTACTTTTCCTTAGAGAACAGAAAGACATTAAAATGAAATTGAAAAGGAGGTTGGTGTTCAAGTGAGGAAGCTTGATACTTTAGTAAAGCACATCATTTGCCATCATGGGCCTTCAGGTATTGGATTCTCGGTATATACATTGAGGAACTGTAGCGCTGCATCAGTTGGTCAGATGAATTCTCCCTCAACTTTATTGAACTTATAAATGTATCTCTTCAATGTCTTATTTGATAAAAATTTTGTGACGAAAAGATAGGTTGATGAGAGAGAATTTAATTTCTTTTTCTTGATTCATTTTAGAGACTGTCATGCTTTTAAGTCCCTTGTGATTATGGTTTCTCTTTATTCTCAACTAAAGCAACGCCACTGCTTGGTTGCTTGTAATTATTTTGGTCTCTAGTGTAGTTTATTCACAGCTTATTGATCTACGTGCCTATTGTTTCTCTGGCTCCCATTGGTCCCCACGAGTATAGTGACTTGATCAGAATTTTGACGTATAAGCTTTTTATAGTGTACGCTATTTCAAATTTCATCTACTCATTATTAGAAACGAACTTAATTTTATGTGATGTGGTTTGTGATATTATTTTGTAGTGTTATCAAGTAGTCATATCTTCCAAAATCAGTACCACCCACTTGATTTTTTATCTTTTTTTCAGTAATCAAATTTGAATGCTTTTGTTGATGAATTCTGTCATCTGCAGATTGCTGAGAGAAGAAAATTGGTTTCTTCTATAAAAAGTAGCATTATTGACCCAGAAGTAGACGAAACTTCTTCTGAGCAGTGGAAAAACTCTTCTTCAGATCAGGACCATGCTTCAACTAGTGGTCAGCCTGTTAATGAACAACAAAATGGCAGCATTCTTTCTAGCAACTATGTCCATTCAGCTGCAGATGAGGTACCAGAAACTGCATCTTCAGTTATCAGTAGAGGTTATGATGACAATAAAAAGGAACTTGAGCCTCAACTACCTCCTAAAGAAGCTCCTTCTGATAAGGATTCTTCTATACAGTTGAAAGTCACTGGCTCAGAGAAAGTTTGGTCAGACGAGCTGCCTTCTTTTCTTTCAAATACCTCAGAAATATTCACTATGAATGAAAAGCATGAAGATGTCAATGAACCAACATTGCCAGAGATTAATAGCATTGAAAGTGATCCTACAACTGAAGACACTTTACCTCCTCCATTGGCTGGGGTCAATGTCATGAATGTTGTTGTGGTGGCTGCAGAATGTGCTCCATGGTCTAAAACAGGTCTTCTATCTTGACCACATGTAGTTTAGATGGAAAATCATTTCTAGTGCCTGTATCTGTGTGATTGTGCCCTTTACTATATGATCTTTAGACTGATGTATAGGTTTCCACAGGTGGGCTTGGAGATGTTGCTGGGTCTTTACCAAAGGCTTTGGCACGGCGTGGACACAGGGTTATGGTACCTTAACTCTTCTTTCTGTAATCAAATGAACATTAGATTACTGCCTACTGGAATAAATGAAAGAGAAATGATTTTACAAGAAGTTCTATGTTGAGTTTACAAGAAATTCTATGTTGAGTAATAATGAGTTGAAGGGTTAGAAAGATTTGTAATTTAGTTCCTAAATATTTCTCAATATACTATCAGCAAAGTAAACAATCTAGACTTTCAGAAAAGAATCCATGAGCTTTGTGTTTGTTAAATAACGCATAAAATTTGAGAACCTTTAGATGCTTGGATTCAGTTAGTACAGACTTTAGATTTAATTGACAGTTTGATTTACATTACTAATTGATGCGGACAACAAAAGAAGCAAAACTTGCATCTTTTTGTAGACTGGGATATTTCTGTAATTTATGAAAAATTCAGAAATTTGTCTGAGAATAATTTTTATTTTTCATTTAGTATTTTATTAGTCCTAAGGAGTAATTAGCTTTATTTGGTTTTTCCTATTCTACATAGACTTATTAATTTCTTTTTAAGAATCTAAGTCCTTATTGGATTTGGACAACTAGAAAAGCGTGTAATCTTTCAATGTTTTCAATGACAGTTTATGAATAAATTTTCAGCAATTTGCTTTTGATGGTATGACTCAATCTCCCTTAGGTGTGACTCTTAAGAACTCTAGGTGTAAAGCTTAGGTTTTTTTATCCTCTAGGTGTGACTCTTAGAAACCCACTAAATTAGTGTGACTCTAATAGTCCTACAATTCCCACTAGAAATCCACTTTAATGCAATCCAATAAAAGCCCTAAACAGCCACCAAAGTTAGTCCAGAACAGATCACTAATGCTATCAAGGATCCACAAGTTTCAGGGGGGAAAAAAAATCCATGAGCTTCATGTTTGTTAAATAACGCATAAAGTTTGAATCTCTCTTTTTGCTCTTTTCATTCCTCCATTGGTTCTTTCCTTTAGGTTGTGGCACCTCGATATGGCAACTATGCAGAACTTCAGGATATTGGAGTTCGAAAAAGATATAAGGCGGATGGTCAGGTCTGCTACAACTGCAGCATTTATTTATAATCAGGGTTCTTATGATATCGTTTAATGATATATATACTACGGAATGCAATTACGAAATCTCTCTTTTCAGGATGTGGAAGTTACATACTTCCAAACCTACATTGATGGGGTGGATTTTGTTTTCATTGATTGTCATTTATTTCGCTACATAGAGGGTAATATATATGGAGGAAGCCGATTGGTAAGATAGCTTGTTCTCACTGTAATTTTACATGATTGTTCAAGTGCAATTTTTTACTAGATAACCTATGATATTAACTAGAGAAAAGAAATGACAATATGCCATGGTCATGGCATGGCAGATTATACAGAATATGAACGTTCAATCACTTAGAAGTTCATCTCCATGTATGTTGAATGAACTTTTTTAACCTTGTACAGTGACAACATATGGAATTCTTATACCCCTGCTTTGAGCATCCAAAATGATTATGATAGATCAGTTTTAATCATGTGATAAATTTCAGATTTATCCATTACTTCGATTTTCTGGTCTTTGCTATACATGGAATCTTACATGTCTGGATTTTCATGCAACAGGACATTTTAAAGCGCATGATTTTATTTTGCAAAGCAGCTGTTGAGGTACACTCTAACTGCAAGCTTTCCTTACAAAATCTGCTTTTGTTAGTTATATCAATTCTAAATATTTTATCGTATAATGTTGATTAAACCTTGTCATAAATGTATATTGAAGATTGGTGGTTCACTGGTATATATTCTGTCTTCCAATTGCTGTTATTCTTTTAGTTTTTCCTTTGGACTTTCGACACACATGAATTCAAACTTTTGGCTCTATGAATATTTTGAATTGTATGTTTGTGTGTTTAAGTTTGCAAACATTTCTTTTTTTAGAATTCATATGGTGACCGTTTATCCCACCAACAGAATACGTTCAAGACACCTTTTAGAATCAGCTGTGGATACTTTATTGGTATCATAGCACCATTGCAAATATTCTTAAATCTAAACATTCTGTGTCTTAAAAAGCTAGATTCGTTATGTATATAGTTGAAGTAATATTCAGAAGGAAGAAATACTGGATTGCAGTATGCATGATAAAAATAAATTCGCAAACATCATCTCCAAAGTATAAATGTTTCATATGATTTTTCAGTTTAATAGTTAAGGCAGCTTCTTTTAGGTAGTTTTAATGGTTGAATGTCTATAACCATTTTTTTCATCCTATCTATGCAAATTAATAGAGAATTGATGATTTCCAGGTTCCTTGGTATGTCCCATGTGGTGGTGTCTGCTACGGAGATGGAAATTTGGTTTTCATTGCAAATGATTGGCATACTGCTTTGTTGCCAGTGTATCTGAAGGCATATTATCGGGACAACGGTTTAATGAAATATACAAGATCTGTTCTTATAATTCATAACATAGCTCACCAGGTTTGTTCTCTGCCTGATGAGGTTTAATTTTATTTGCCTAGGGAGCACCAATTTTCTACATATGTCACTTTTTGAACTTCCTTGATTTTGTCTTGCTGAACATATTTTTAACACTAACTTTATAGCATGAAAGAAAAAAATGTGTCCCAAATATATATATGTAAGAAAAAAATGGAAGGAAATCTGCAAGTTTTATCGGGTTGTAGTTCAGCCTTTCTGACGTACTTCTTTTTCACCTTTGTGGTTGGAAGTGTGCATATATGGTTCAGTAAGTCCTTTTTAAATATCTTAATACTAAGCTATTATAATTTAACATTAACACTAGGAATGCAGCCATCTTTCTAGAATGTGCAATGCTATTTGGATTGATATACCATTTTATATTGTACCTCTATTATTTTATTGCCCTCTCATTTTCTTAATCTTTGCATCATGTGAGGATCGTTGTTACACACACCTATGTGCCTAGTCACCACTCATCCAATGACTCCTAGAAAATGAGTAAATCCTAGGTTTGGAAAGCATAATGAAGTTTTGGTTGGTTTTGAAGTATCACCCTTAGCTTCCTTGTTGTTGCTGGTTGCTCGTGGGGGTATTGAATCCCTTTCCAGACATTAAAAATTGAAGCCTAGTTCATCAACTAGATGCTTGAAGACATTGCATGAAAATTTTCAGAACGTTTATGAAAGAATTTCCAAGAGAATGGAGTCCACAGGAGTTCTATCAATCATCGCATCTAAATGTTTCACTTAAATGACCAGTCTATCCTTTAACACGGAATGCTGCAGAAGACAGACTTAGAATTACTTGGAAAGATATTTCAATTGTTCTCTTTCTCAGCTGTTATTTGCAAGCTCTGTTTTCGTCTGTGTCAAGTATATCTGATAAAGTCAAAACAACATTAGTCTTTTTTAACTTAGGTCATCATTGATATATTATTACACAGATATCTTTGTAGACAGATTCAAATTTTGACCTTTTTTTTTTTTTTTTTGACTTGAGAAAATCTGTGGCTTCTAGGGTCGTGGACCTGTGGATGATTTCTTCCATGCGGATCTGCCAGAGCACTATGTTGACCTTTTCAAAATGTATGACCCCCTTGGTGGCGAACATTTCAATATCTTTGCTGCTGGTCTGAAGACAGCAGACCGTGTGGTTACTGTCAGTCATGGATATTCATGGGAGCTTAAGACATCTGAAGGTGGTTGGGGTCTGCACAATGTCATAAACGAAAATGATTGGAAATTTAGCGGTATTGTGAATGGCATTGATACAAAAGAATGGAACCCGCTTTTGGATGTTCACCTGACTTCAGATGGTTATGCTAACTACTCCCTGGAAACGCTGCACGCTGGCAAGCCTCAATGCAAGGCAGCCTTACAGAAGGAGCTTCGTTTGCCTGTCCGTCCAGATGTCCCTGTGATTTGTTTCATTGGAAGATTGGATCAACAGAAAGGTGTTGATCTCATAGCTGAGGCTATTCCATGGATGGTCGGTCAGGACATGCAGTTAATCATGTTGGGCACTGGCAGACAAGACCTGGAACAGATGCTGAGGCAGTTTGAAGATCAACACAATGACAAAATCAGGGGATGGGTTGGTTTTTCTGTAAAGATGGCTCACAGGATAACTGCAGGTGCAGATGTTTTGCTCATGCCGTCACGATTTGAGCCTTGTGGGCTGAACCAACTATATGCTATGATGTATGGAACAATTCCAGTCGTCCATGCTGTTGGGGGGCTAAGGGATACGGTGCAACCTTTCAATCCATTCAATGAGTCTGGGCTTGGGTGGACATTCGATAGTGCTGAAGCAAATAAGTTGATACATGCACTAGGGAACTGCTTATTGACCTACCGAGAGTACAAGAAAAGTTGGGAGGGACTTCAAAGACGAGGGATGACGCAAGATCTCAGCTGGGATCATGCTGCTGAGAAATATGAGCAAGTCCTTGTTGCTGCCAAGTACCAGTGGTGAGTGTTGGTCAGTCCATGCATAAAATTTTGATGTTTGTAGTCTGTATGAGCTTTAACCTGGTTTCCGTTTGACCTAGATGTTGTCAATGAAGTGCCTTGGATGAATATATATGGTTGAAATATGATTTTCACACGGTTTACCATTCCGACTCTAGTCACTGTGGCCAAGCCAATTAATTTGCTAAGATTAAGGCAGGCAGTCCAGTTGACCTCTTCCATCTACTAGTACATAGTTCCCTTGTAATTATCATCCCAATTTAGATAAATTGAGACTATTTTTCTTGTTTAGTAAGTATCCAACCCTTTTTTTTTTTTTTTTTTTAATAGAGATTTAATATACGACCGAGCAACAACGCCCTGCATTGTCATTCACTTGGCAACCGAAGGCAATTTCCGTTAATTTGTCCAACTCACAAGTCCCTGCCATTCTGCATGTCGCTGCAGCATCGCAATTCTTGTGGCAACGTTTCTCAATTTCCCTTTAAAACTAGCCGTATGGCCTGAGAGGTTCGAGTTTGGTTGCTTGGTGTTTGAAAAATAGAACTGTTAAGCGTCTAATTGAGGTTTAATAAGTTTTAAAAAACAAACCATGAGAGAGAGCAAACAAATGGACGAGTCTCAATAGTGTTACATAGAGCATAAGGGATCCGATAAGATTAAAGAAAATTTGACAGGATTGTCAACCATCTCCAATCATCCTTTTAGTAGATATCATCACGTGTTGCAATTGCAAGGGGAAAAAAAAAAAAAAAAAAAAAAAGGGCTCAATCATTTTTTGCACATAGGCCTGTTAACTATATTTCTTTCCTTAAGAAAACTAGGGAATCGTCTCATGTCATCGTTGTGCAATTGCCTAGGGCCCAATTCAACAATTTTCTCTTACATTATAAGCCTTTCGAGTTTTTATAAACATAAAACCTTTTGAGTTATACCGCTTTATAAACGTTATTTATTTATTTTTTTTAATAAACGAGTAGCTAATAAAATTACCAATGGAGTTGGCTTTAAGAGTTCCTTTACAAGGGAATTTATAAAATGTATAAAAGGCAGTGGCATCTCTTATTATCTCTTATTATATTTATTTTATGTTTTTTATTAATTTTTTATTTTAGACTTTCTTTTATTAGAAAGGGTCGATTTAAAGTACCAAATGTACAAAATTAGTGTCACCGCAGAATTAAAGTACCAATTAGGAGTTACTTATATTTTTTATTCATCAACTTGTTAAAATTTCTAATTAAATATGTTCTCTTTAATCTATATTATTTGAGTAGATTAAGTTATAATTTTTTTTTAATTAAGTGTTTCGATAACTTTCATTAACTTTGTGTTGACGTAATCGTTAACTATGTACATACACCGACAAAGGCCTTACTCGTTAGATTTTTTTTTTTTTGTACAAGGTTATCATTTTTTTTTATAATTTGAGTATGTAATTTTTTTTCTATTTAATTGTACCAATTTGTAATTCTTTTTTAATTTGAGTGATTCCGCTAACTCAAGAGTGATGTGTTTGTTAACTATACATATGGTACTGTCATGTAGGCTCCATTATCAAATGTTTGTATAAAATAATAATAATAATAATAATACAAATTTTTTTTTAACAAATGTTTATATATATATATATATATATATATATATATATATATATATATATATATATATATATATATATATATATATATATATATATAAGAATGGATCAACCAATAAATCTATAAAATTAAATGAATAACTTTTCTAATCAATTATTTTATCCAATCCAGATTCAAGCTATCCTTTATTCTAAATTAAAACTCAATTTCATACTATCATCTTTTAAATAGCTATCATTTTCAACTTTTTTACTAAGAATGAGAATGAATAATTTTCTTGGTGAATGAACACAATAAAGTTTTTTTTGCTTGTATATAGATACATTTAAGTAATTTGTTTGTCATTTTTTAAAAATTATTTTCATGTAAAAGTTATAAATAACTTACTATTGTTATGTAATTTATTTGTCTTTATTATTGCTATCATAGAATGAAAATGAATTGTTATTTTTTAATTTTTTTCTAGTTATCACTTGTCTTGACGACAAGCTCACACAATGATTTTTTGTGTGTAGTTAACAAGCACCTCAACCTAGAATTAACGAAATCATATAAAAAATTACAAATTAGTACATTCAAATAGCAAAGATTAAATTTTACACACTTAAATAATAAAAAAAAAATAAGTTTATGCTAAAAAAATTGGCAATGGTGCCTACGCGTCGATGTTGCTTGTATAGTTAGTGTCCACATCATTATAATATTAACGAAGTTAACAAAAACACTTGATTAAAAAAAATATACAACTTGATATACTTAAATAACAAAGATTAAAGTGCACACATTTGATTAGAAAAAATGACAAATCGGTAAAAAAAAAAAAATGTAATTAACTTTATCAATTAGTGTCACCGTATCACACTATTACACAGATCTATGTAATACATCAAACAAACAAATAATAATAAATAAGCATTTATTAATAAACATGATGAGGTAAGTTTGGTTTTGCTTGCAATTAGTTAATGAATTGAGCATTCATTTATATAGACCATACTTTATGCTTAGACGACATATAATTAGAATATTAATTACCTTCAGTTAAAAATATAGAGAGAGCAAGCAAAGAAGATGAATTTATTAAGGAAAAAAAGATATTATGTGGAAATTAAATAAGTTGAGTTAGGTTTTATGTTATGGAGTTTGAAATGCATCAAATTTGTAGTGTCAAATACTAATCTACTGAAAATAAGATTGCAGTAGAGAGATATTATATATATGTTGTTTATGTGTATTTGTACAATATCTTCCAATCACTATATATAGGTGATTTACAAAAGCATTTATTATAAAAGAGAACACGGTCGTACATTATGAAGATAGAGTCCATCTTTAGCTTGGGATAGGATTTGTGGGGGGTAGAGTTCTTGTAGGTCTCTGGCCACGGTTTGTGTGGAGCTGTACAGGAGGCAGACTTATAGTGAGTGTAGAGGTCTGTCTCAATACTCCCCCATAAACGGAATATGGTCTCTCACCCACAGTCAGTTTGTCCTTGAGAAATTGAAAACGGTTTGTAAACAAAGGTTTGGTCACCACATCAGTTATCTAATCTTGACTAGAGATGAAGGACACCTGTAAACTCCCCTGTGATACCATGTCCATGACAAAGTGAAAAATCTATTTCAATGTGTTTAGTCCGTGCATGGAAGAGAGGGTTGACAGCTAAGTATGTGGTGTCAATATTGTCACACTAGATAGTAGGCTTGGAAATCAATGGCACTGTGAGTTCGCCAAGGAGAGAGGTTAGCCAAGTAATTTTCACAGCCAAATCTACCGCAACCTTGTATTCAGCTTCAATAAAGCTTCTTGCTATAGTTTTTTGTTTGAAAGATTTCCAGGTTATCAACTTACAGCTGAGGTAAACAGCATAGCCCCCGGTTGATTTTCTATCATCTAAACAATCGACCTAGTCAGAATCAGAGAATCCAAAAATGGATGCATTGGGGTGAATTTTGGAGATACAAGCCATAATTCAAAGTATGTTTTAGGTAACGTAGGATGCGTTTAACAACCACCCAATGGTCCATCTGAGGGTTGTGCATATATTGGCATACTCTATTTACTGTAAATGTTATATGTGGACGGGTGAGGGTTACATATTGTAGTGCTCCTATAGCTTGACGATAAAGGGTCACATCTTCAAAGGGGATAAAAGAGTTTGATGTGAGTTTGGTCATTGTAGGCATGTGGGTTGAAGCTGGTCGACAGAGTTGCATCCTTTTTTTTGCCCATAAGTCCTTAATGTACTTACGTTGAGAGAGAAGAATGCCATGCTTTGTCTGTACCACCTCAATGCCTAGGAAGTAATGGAGATTACCAAGATCTCTGGTAGCAAACTTAGAATTCAAGACAATGATAATCGAGTGAAGAAAGACCGAGTCATTATCGATTATCATGATGTCGTCTACATAAATCAAAAGGAAAACTTTGTACCTATTGTTATTATAAAGGAACAAAGAGCAATCAGTCTTGGAGCTAACAAAGCCAAACTCAAGGAGGAAAACATGGAGGCAGGAAAACCAAGCCCTAGTGGACTGCTTTAACCCGTAAAGGGACTTGTGGAGATGGCATACATAGTGAGGAAAATGATGGTTAGTGAATCCAGTTGGTTGCGCCATAAACACTTGTTCATTAAGTGTGTAATTTAAAAAGGCATTGTGAACGTCTAATTGTTTGATTTTCCATCCATGTGATATTACCAGAGCAAGGACACAACGAATGGTAGCTGGCTTGACCACAAGACTAAATGTTTCCCCAAAATCAATGCCTTCCTGTTGATGATAAAACCGTGCCTTATACCTCTCGATAGTGCCATTTGCTTTCTTTTTGGTTTTGAAAACCCGTTTATTCCCAATGATGTTCATGGTGGGTGAAGGTGAAACCAGAGTCCATGTTTCAGTTTTCAACAAGGCTGAAATTTCAACCGACATTGCCTTGTGTTAGTCCTTATACTTCTGAGCTTAGGAAAAACATGAAGGTGCCTCAAGGGTACAGCTAGATAAGGCAGCCATGAAGATTTTCGATTTGGATGAATTTTTCATGGATCTTAAGATCATGTGGTGAGTGTAAAAAGGGTTTTGTTTATCATTATGGGTGGGCTAAATTGAGGCATGGGGTAGATTTGAGTTGGGTTTGTGATGTGTGGAAGTAAAGTGCACAGGTGGAGGAGATACGTGTGGTGGTGGGGATGGAGGATCTGGAGAGGGATGAGGAGAAAAAGATGGGCTTGAGTTCTCCTATAGTTGAATGTGTGTATTATTTAATTGGGAGGGTTGGTCCAGTTAGGAAGAAGTGGCATGAGTGTCTGATGCTTGAGGTTTTAGGCTTGGTGTGTGATGTGATGGGCTTGGTTGGTGGAACGATTGGGGTGAGGCAATAGATGGGTTGGCAAGTTAGAGAACGGGGTTGATGTGGGCTGTTATAGGGTTCCTAGGTTGAGAGAGAAGGAGAGCAAGGCTGCTAAGAGGGATTTTGAGTGAGAGCTGGTGAAGAAACCGAGTGAGCTGATCCAGTTGCTAATGGAGAGAAAAAATGTTTTTGTTAAACAGGAACACTAAACCAGGGGTGGGTATCAATTTGTAATGGGGTAGGCAGCTGAATATTTTGAGTGGAGAAAGAGAAGACAGACTCTATGAATCTAACACGATAGGAAATATACATTCGATTAGTTTTTATATCTAGATAACGATAACCTAAATGAGATAGACTATAACCAAGGAAGACACAAATGAGTGACTGAAAATCCATTTTATTTTTATTATAAGGACGTAGTTATAGGAAACACAAGCATCTAAAAATCTTTAGAAAAGAGTAATCGAGGTTGTGGCGATGTGTAATTTCATAAGAGGAAATATGGTGTGACACTAAAAAAGGTATACAGTTGATAAGAAATACTGTTGTTTCAAAGGTAAAATGCCAATAAGATCTAGGGACACTTGCTTCTCCTAACAGAGTTAAGCCAGTTTTAACAATATGATGATGACATCGTTCTATTGTTCCGTTTTGTTCATGGGTGTGGGGACATAAAATTTGATGATTAATTCTAATATTTTTTTAAAAAGGTGTTTAGACGATGGTATTCATCGCCCTAGTCTATTTGGACATGTTTTATTTTGTAATTAAATTTTCTTTCCATGAGAGTTTAAAATTGAATAAAAGTTGAAAAAACATTTTTTTTTTTTTTTTTTTTTGAAGTGGAAAGTACCAGATGAATTTGGAAAAATGATATAAAAAAATAACATAATATTTATGTCCCTCAACTGAAGTAGTAGGGGAAGGACCTCAAACATCACTAAAAATTAACTCTAGAATGCTAGTACTATTATGATAGGAAGTAGCTAAAGAAAATCTACTTGTTTTTACTAAAGGACATGACACGCATGGAGTAGGTAATGCTAAAGAATTTGACAAAGCTGCATTTTTCAAAATGAGACAAAGCACTCGATTATGTAGATGACCCAAACAAGAGTGCCATAAATTAGTGAAAGCCTGGACAAAATACGCCTTAGGAGGGGAGGAATGGGAAGAGGCAGGCAAGACATAAAAATCAGCATCACTCGATCTTGAAAGTAGGGGTGTCTTGTGTACCTGATCCTTTAGACAAAAACAAGAGGGTGAAATTCCTAAAACAGTGGCCAAACGTTGAACAAAAAGTAAGGGTTTTGTGATATGTGGAACATACAAAACATGAAATAAATCAAGAGATTTAAAAGGTGTTTGAATGTGATTGTTACCAATATGAGCTATGGGTAAGTACTCATCATTTCCCACTTGAAGTTTGTCGAGACCATGATATGGTTCATAAGTGCTGAGAGAGGATAGATCTAGAGTGACATGATGTGAAGCATCAGTATTTGGGCACCATGAGGAATTTACGAAACCAGATGGAAAAGCATAGTAATAAGCTGTTAGATTAGTTGAAGGAGTAGCAGTGGGTTGAGCAAATCGTTGAGGACAATGCAAAGCCGTATGGTTCCATGATGTGTAAAGTTGGCATCTAGATTTATTTTCCATGAAAGGCCAAGGATGTCATGCAAGCAAAGAAGGACTAGGATTAGATCTGTTATTGCAATGACCACAGCCATGAAACATTCTACCTCTGCCAAGGTGAAAAATCCCTTGATTTCTTTACCCAAAGTGTGCTGAAGGTGGAGTGGGCAAGAGACTAAGGACATGTGGAATCAAAGAAGGCGCAAAGGTAGAGTCTTTGTTCATAAATTCATGGCTAAAGAGGAGACTATGAAGCTTAATGAAGGTAATTGGTACAGATCTAATAGATAATTTCCTGATGATGTCTTTAAAGTCTCCTAGTAATCCTTTGAACACATATAAGTTAAAGTCAATAACCTGTAAGGGGCGGCTAGCAGCAGTGAATTCATCACTATGAGTTTTAACATGTTGTAGGTACTAAGAAACAGGTTCATTAGGTTTTTGGCATAAATTTTAGAGTGCGAGGTACAATGTCATGATTCGAGTGCTTGATGGGGAAGCAAAAGCTTGTTCAAAGACAATCTAAATTTCTTTAAAGGAAGTGCAATCAATGACCATAGGTAGTACATCCGTAGAGCTAGAGGCAATAAGGGTGCTCATGAGCAATTGATCTTATTGAATCCAAGCAAGTTGAGAGGGATTATCTTAAGGTGAGTCAGAGTCAGCTAAGATAATCTGGCAAGGAGGGTAAACACTAGAGCCATCAACAAAGCCAAAAAGTCCTTAACCAAGGAGGAAAGGTTTTAGCTGGGTGTGCCACAATAAGAAATTTGTGGGAGTGAGTTTCAAAGAAAGGAAGTGATGAGCATTAGTGAGGGAAGTGAGTTGTGATGATGACAGCTGGTAAGGCATGGTGTGAGTAAGATAGGTACTGCTAGAGGAAGACATTTGGTTTGAAAAGGGAGGATGTGTTAGAAAAAAAGGATGATTCGGTAGTTAGCCTTTGAAAGCTCTGATACCAAAATAAGATTGTAGCAGAGAGATATTATATATATGTTTTTTCTGTGTATTTGTACAGTATCTTCCAATCACTATATATAGGTGATTTACAAAAGCACTTGTTACAAAAGAGAACATGGCTATACATTATGAATATGGAGTCCATCCTTAGCTTGGGATAGGATTTGTAGGGTTAGATTTCTTGTAGGTCTCCGGCCACGGTTTGCTTGGAGTTGTGCAGGAGGCAAACTTTTAGTGAGTGTAGAGGTTTGTCTCAATAACTGATAACATAATCATGTACTTGATTTATGCATGACACTACATGAACTCATTTTAAGTTCCAATTACTTCTTCATCCCTTGCAAGATGAAAGTAAAGATTCTTTTCTATTGTTGGAAACAATAGGATCAATCATTACCTAAAATCATAACTTTTAGTTCTACATTGACATCTGTTTTTCTCTTTTTGCATTGTTTCCATACTTGAAATTAGAAAAAATATATATTTATTAGTAAATAAAATTGAATTATGTAATAATATAGTGATATAACTAATCTAACTCATTGTGGTTTTCATTTATGTAGAGGCCCTTCTCATTTGATATCCTAAACTACGAAAAAATTAGATGATGAATCAGAATTCTGATCTTCTTCGGAGGTCAAGATATAGAAAGCACAATAGGAGAGGAAAAAAAGTCATTCAATTGTATAAAGGCATTACAAACAAAAAAAAATCTTTTATTGTCTAACCTTATTTTGTCATCAAGTTCATCCTCTCCAAACAAATCAAATCCGCGCCTCCCCCTCCCTCCCAATTTCCTATACAATTTCACATCGTGAAAGAAGCATTTGTGTTTTTTTCTATATATATCCAGCAACAATATTTTTATCTTTTATTTTTTTATTATTTTTTTCACATTGTCTAGCCATGCTATTAAATGACACTATTGGCCAATGATGAGTACTTATTTTTTTTAATCAATTATTTTTTAAAACAATTGGTCTAAGTATATTGACTTGTCAAAACATGTCGTTGTTATCACTTTTTGTGGTAATCGGATTTACTTAAAAAACTTAGTTAAGTATAAATAGGGAACTTACTTGACAAGCCATTAACCCCCAAATGTCATGTCAAGTAACTTGTTACATGATAGTCCGCGTCCAAAAAATTAGTTAAGTATAGTGACTTTTTTTTCAAATTAGTCAAGATTTAACAGGAAGGTAGCTCTCAAATGCTCGGGAGACACATCAATTGAGAATTCATGCTTAGCAACGATAATGATCTCATTAGATAGCATTTTAAAAAACAATAGATGAGTCTCAAAGTTATTGTTGTCTTGGACGTTAATTTTATTTTACTTTTTTAGCATTGTATGTATGGAGAAAATAGTTCCTAAAAGCTCCTTAGTTCCTTTCTAAGTTTTCGATTCATCAATTACTGAGTAGGCATTAAAATTTTCTTAAGCGTTTAGTTGAAAAAGATGAGATTGAATTTTTCTTTCTAATAATAAAAAGAATTTTTATGCACACGACTTGCCTAGCATGCAACTTTTCTCAATAGATATAGTGTTGCCATTATAAAGATATACCGAGTATGAAAAGCTCATGGTCCGGCAGCGTACGGCTAAGCTAGATGGATATGAGGTTTTCATGAGAAAAAGAAATTCGAGTATAAAGAATTCATGACTCGACCGAGAATGTAGCTTGACTAGATAGATATGGCATTGCTATCTAAAAGATAAATTGAGCATGAAAAACTCACGGCTTGGGAAGGATACAACTTGGTTAGATGGATATGAGTTGCCATTAGAAATAAAAATTGAATATAAAAAAATCACAATCTAGCCATCACATAGCTTAATTAAATAGACATGGAGTTTTCATAAAAAAGTAATGATAATAATTGAGAATGAAAAACTCACGAATTTACTAGCGTGCAACTTGGCGAGATATATATGATATTTTCATTAAAAAAATTAAGCATGAAAAGCTCTTTGTTTGGTTAGCATGCAACTTGACCGGATGAACATGGATTATAGCAAATTTTAAGAGCATTGTAATTGTGTGATTTTGTATTTATCATTTTTTTAAAATCATAAAGATTATAATATAGGAAAAAATAAATCTTTCATGGAACTTATTCATTTTATAAACACTCAAGAATTATAGGAGTAGAGAACAAGTTTATTAGCATTTAGAATTTTTAGCAAAAAAAGTGCAATTGAGTTATCAATGTTGTCTACTTCTTCCATATAGTGTATGGTATAATTAGAAGTGGCATAGTAAATATGTATTCAAAATCTTCTTTCTCCAACTCAGTCGGGTCATAGAAAATGTCATTCATTTGGTTGTTGTGGCAATTTTGGTGTTTTGGTAAGAGGTTTTCTTACACTCCATCTTCATTATCAAAGAAAATATCCCTTTTGTTTAGTTTGTAATAAAATAAAAACAT